GCACTTGCCCAGTCAAGGTGTTTTTTTGTATTTCCTTGTCCTCCCCTAAAAAGGTACAGAAAACCCTCCTGTGCCCCATTTAAAGAAAATACCTTGAAGAAAACAGACGGGAAAGTTCCCTTCATAATATAAATTTGTTTTAAACTGCGTGCACAAAAAGACCCAGATTTGCCAGGCATGACTTGGTTAATAAATATGCATATTTTTCTGTAGACATAACAACAATGAACTACTGTGGGCATCTTTGGGTCCTGAAGAAAAATTACCCCCACCTACTGTCTCAAGTATCTTAAGATGGAAAAAAAACCTTATGGTGCCCATGTGATGATCATAATATTTTTGGCACTGGGCATATCAGTCTACATCCCTGAGACATGGCATTAAGATGCCAATCTCTTCCATCATCTCCAACATGTGCATGAAATTATGAAGTTTCCAAAAATATAAAGAAAGCGCCATTTCACCAAAAGAGAATCAACGCCATTTTATCATAAGAACATTCTAATCTGTTTATTTAAAACCATTTTACCATTACTTTAATTCCTTCAATGGGAAAGGAAACATCCAAAAATTTAACACACACACTTCTGCTTGTTAATGTGCAAATGCCTTTTCAGCCCATCCCCCTAAAAAGCCAATTATTTTCAGAAAAAGATGGGAAAAGGTAGCATTGGCCTGTCCAGCATGACAGGAAGGAGAGAAGCAACACTGCAAGCATCCAACCCAGTTACATACTTTTATGTCTGTGGACAAGGGAATTTCCTTTGGGTCTTGCCAACTCATTTAACTTGAGGCTAAGGAAGAAAAAAATCCTATTTGATCCACACACACCACACAGCTGGAGCAGTTAGGGAGGGACTTGGCATTCAAGAATCAGGGTTTATTCCCAGCACAAATTTATTGGTGACAGAGTCACTTTGTTGCATATAAACGCCAAAGTAGAGGTTACAGGATAATGCCCGCATTCAAAAAGCACTTAAATCATCTGAAATGTGCCAAGTAAAAATGTTCCCCTCCATCCTTAAAAACATGAAAATTATTCTTCATTAAGTCATGGAGGAGCATGGGTTGCTTTTTTTCCCCCTTTTTCTATTAGCATGAGTCTTGCTGGAGGCTGCACAGGGAGACTAGTTTCAGTTTGTAAAATACTTCCCAAAGACCAAGGCTGGCCAGATTCCTGTAGCCTCGTTAAATGGTACCCATTTGCAAAGGGAAGTTGAACAGCCACTAACAGAAGGAGTGCCTTTTAAAATACAAAGAGTATCAGGAGCCTTCATGGCCTGGTCATCTGCCGAATAAAATACCAGAAACACCAGAATTATTAAAAGCCAGACACCAACCGCCCAAGATACACAGATTTTATGGGCCCAAGCAAAGCTGCGTGCAGCATCTCAAGCAGTCTCCAGCAAGAACCTCCTCGAGGGTTGCAGACAGGATCCAAAGTTACCCTCGGTGACCAAAAAAGTCACATTCCTAGGAGGAACTAATTCAGGGGATAGGAAGAAAAGCCAGTTTACCCAGACAAAGTATATGAATTTTTAGCAAGTCAGTTTAAGCAACCACAAACTCTTCACTACCTCATCTAAAAACAGCAGTCATAAGACCACGACTGTCCAATTAGCAGCGCAGGGGCCACGCATGGCTAACAAGGGATTAATCCGATGCCCCCAGGCTGCTGCTTCCCTCCATTGCTCACAGTGCAGCAGCAACTGGGGTCTCCAAGCTCCCCCTCCCAACCCTGGCCCAGGGGGCTGAGCGATGCAGTGTGGCACACAGCCTTCAATGCCAGAGAAGCTCACAGCCTGGGGTGCCTGAATGGCGTGGTGTGGCAGGGATGCTTGCAGGCAGGGAGCTAAGGGGCAATCAGGGGACCCAAGTGCACGGTGCAGCGGACGGGACGGTGCAACAAGTAGCACAGGGGCACACAGGGCAGTGGGGGGATGCACCCAGGCACACAGTGAAGAGGACAACGTGGGCAGCAGCAGCACGGGGATGCAGAGTGCAGTAGGGAGGCACAGGAAGAGGCAGCAGGGAGGTAGGGGAGGACACCTGGGCATGCAGAGCAGCAGGGTCTATGGCTCCCGCTAGCGTGGCCTGAGGGTCATGCAGCCTGTGCCACACAGAAGTCGGATGGCCCCGTCATATGCCAAAGGCTCAGGGGGTCACCTTGCCTCAAAGTCCCGGGTGCTAAAAGAACAGGCAGAAGAGAGCTCATGATATTAGAAATGCAGATTTAAAACACTTAGCCTCCACATTGACATAACCCTCTTATTTCCAAGTAACGTCAGTAAAAATAAAAATCCATTTTAATAGCTCTGTTCTTTGACCACTAGGGTGCATTTTACAGCTTTCACTGTAAACAAGCTGCAGTAAGACTATTTTATTTGCAAGGCTCTTCCTAAGACTTGGCCTCTCCAAGAACATCCGACTCCCTTGTATAAAAAAGCCTGAGTACTTCCTCTGAGGCAGTGCCTGAACAAGATAGGAAGCAAGGGGGAGGCCTAAATGGCCTCTACTCAGGATGGAGGGAGGTCAAAAGAGGGGTCCTGCAGGGATCTGTGCTGGCCCCAATTTTGTTCACCTTTGTTTATCAACTACCTGGAAATCAGGATGCACAGTATCATTTCCAAGAATGGAGATGATACTAAATTACTCCAGATAGTCAAATCCGAAACTGATGGAGAGGAGCTGCGGAAAGTACGCAAGTAAAAAGCAAAAAATAGCACATGAACTTCAAATGTCAACAAGCGCAAGATAACATGCATGAGAAAAATAACCTCAATTATACGTACACAATGCTGGGTTCTGAACTAGCTGTTATGACTCAGGAAAAAGACCTTGGAGTCATTGCAGGCAGTTCTCTAAAAATATCAGCTCAATGTACAGCAGCAAACAAAAATGTTGGGCATTATTAAGAAGGGAACTGAAAACAAAACTGAAGTCATGCCACTATACAAACCCATGGTGCACCCACATCTTGAATGCTGTGTGCAGTTCTGGTCTTTGCACCTCAAAAAGGATGCAGTGAAATTAAAAAAAGGGACAGTGAGGGGCAACCAAAAAAAAGATAAAAAACAGGGGTATGAAACAGCTGCCATACAAGGAGACTAAAAATGCTAGGTCTCTTCAGTTCAGAAAGGAGAAGGCCAAGAGGGACATGACAGAAATCTATAAAATCATGAAGGATGTGGAACAAGTGAACAGGAAACTGTTGTTCACCAGCTCCCAGAATATTAGAATTACGGGTGGAATAAGTACGAGATGGGTTTAAGATCAACAAGAGAAAGTACTTTTTAGATGCAGCACAAAGTTAACTTGTGGAGCTTATTACCACAGGAGGTTGTAGAGGTAGGGAGCATAGCCAGGTTCAAAAAGGGACTAGACAAAGTCACGGATGACGGCTCTATTAGCAACTATTAAACAGAAGACAGATGTATCCTCTGACATCTCTAAAACTAAATAATGGTGCCAGAGAGGGATCAATTAGATATACCCAGTTCAGGGATCTCCTTCTAAAGCATCTACTCCTGCCACTGACAGAATGGATACCGAGTTAGATGGACCATTAGTCTGACCCAGTACTGCACTTCTTATGTTCTTATGGGACATTAAAGAAGTGTCAAAAGGGTTTTTTCCCCTGCCTTTCAAGCCAGATAACTATAAAAAAAAAAAAGAAGCTCACTGAATAAAGTAAGTATATTATGTTCTCTCCTCCGCTTCAGCATGCAGGTCACCTTACACAATCTGTGTTAGCAAGGGAAGCATTAGGGTTGCAATATAAGCAAACAAACGTGAATAGTATCAACAGACAGAACATCTAAAGATAGTAAGAAAATCCAGTACCATCACAAAACTGACCCTCTTGCTTAGGTTTGCCCCTCATACTTTTGTCTGATCTAGGCCATATGTTCTCTGGAGTTGAACAGGATAGACTGCACCACTTAGTCAAATGGTCATTTAGGAAAGAAGCCTTCAGCCACAGCACAAGGCACAATTTGATTGAGAAACAATATGCCAATGGGTCCATAATTGTACAGCTTTTATGGAATTGCTTCAGCCTGCTTAAGTGCATTGCAGTAGCAACTCTGACTCAAATGCATGCCCAAAATAATCAGAACAAGCATCCGACTGTTACACTACTTTCAACTCATTTTGGCTCCAAGGGTTCTGATGAAATTCAGGGAATCACAGCAAGCAGGGATCCAATTTAGGCAGAACTACTATGGCAGTCTGGCAATCACACTGAGCTATTGGTGTAGGCAGCTGTGTTAGCTTGTCTTTATGCATTTGGCTTTAAGGGCAACCTTGAAGTTCAAAATGGAGTTTCATATCAGGCAGAGTATTTACAGTGGAGCTCAAACTGTGAACCAGAAGCAGAAAGCAAGTAGTGCGTACTGTATATTTACACCTGAGCTTCATTCTCTTTCACCATTTGATGCAGTGTTTTGGAATAAGTAGGTTCATTTATCCGTGTACTTTCAATGGACTGGAGTCCGCAGTTCCTAAAGAAGTGGTGCTCCTGGCAAGGAACAGAGTTGAGGGTGAGGAAAAATTCATTTGGGTTCAAGATACTCAGCCGTCTGCTTTGGATGCTCTACTGTGTACTGAATGCTCTAGGAATTCGAGAGCAACAGTACACTCTGACGACATACACTGATACCGTTTCCAAGCCTTCGATTTTATAGTACATAGGGAAAATGAGTGCTCTTAAGGCCTCCTACTCCAAACCAAACAACTTGTCAGAGGAAGAAGTCATGTATGCATAACATCACAGCAAGCATGTTGAAAACTAGGGGAGGGTTAGCCAGCAAAGACCCTCCCCATACAAAAAACAGAATACCCAAGTCTAACTCTAAGGCAAGCAGTGTTGTCCAAAGACACGGTATATGAAGGGACACACGTTTGTTTGTATTATTCTGTTAAGATAATGGCAGCTTAGCTACACATAAGCTCCAGGAGAAAATGCACCTGATTTTTCTTAAAGGATCACGACTGCTCACCTGTCTGAACATCAATGACCATCTGATGACCGCCCCTCATTCCTGGTCTGCTGTCTTCTCCATCACCTTATTTCAAAAGCAAAGCAAAAAGTTTTAACCTACACATGATTTCAAAGTGAAGCCATCTACCCACCTGTACAGCCTAAGCACTAGGGGGAAGTAACGTCATTTAAGAACAGCCCAGAGTTCTTTATCCATTCATACCACGCCCAGGAATTACCCAAAGAAACAGCACGTTTTGCTCAAGACAACCCAGATAACAGTTCGTTCAATTGCTTTATCTGCCAGACACAAGGCAGTGACCTGGGAAGAGGGAGCGAATACAATGCTCGGCACTGGTACTATCTGAGAATCTTGCAAGAGAAAACTTTAAAACAGTACCTGAAACATCCCCAAGCAGCTAAGCTAACAGCAGCCTTTGCATCCTTCTCAAACTGAAGAAGGGGTAGATGCTTATTCAACCCCTGACAGGATGAAGAGCAGTTTCAAGAGATGGCTTCAACCACATCAGCTGGCACAGCCCAAATCCATCCAGGAAAGACAGTGCCCCCTTCCCTCCACCAATCGTACTAACCAACACCCCATGTCATGACAGGCAAAAGGAAGAAAAAGTCAATTCTGCTTCTTTTACACTGCCTTGACTTTCTCTTGTGCAAATTCTACCTTCCCATTTAAAGGAGTTCTCCAATCACTCAGTTGCTCAAGTATTACAGACTGGGGCAGAAGATCTAGCTCCTCGGCCTCATCGGGGAACTGGCATTAAAGAAACCCTTAAATTTTATTCGCAGGAGTAGGTTTTGTCAGTGTTCTTATTTAGCTAACCCATTGCATTTGGTGTTACATACAGGTTGGTTGTCCTAGGAGGTGGCTATGGCAGTGTACTGCACAGCAGAGTTTGTTAACAGTTGTCTTTTAATGGTAAAAGGTGCTGGGAACTTTTTAACAATAACTTCTACAGCTTAATGATGGCCACCAAAATTTGAGTTATTCTGGATATTTCTAATATTACCTCCATTTGTGCCAAGACAAATATATTCACAAGCTTAATTTCCATGTTGTTTCCCATTATCAGCATCACTTTACATCTAATTTGTACCATGTTTCAACTCCAATCATACCCAACAGTTATTAACCTATGACTCGCTTGTTTTAAATGGACCTGTCTAATGTTTGAGCTTACAGCTATTGTTTTTTTGTGAAAGGTTCCTTAATGAATTGGAGATTCACTTACATTTCACTATCTGAGAAAAAATGCAGATGCAATTTCCTTTTCACCCTGCTACATTACTGACTCCTGTAAAAAGCATGATCAAAACCATTCAATATCCTCCTTTGTTGCATCATTCCCTTACGCAAATCCACAAAGTAATATGGCAGCACTATTAATGCTTGGATGATTTTAAAAGAAGTGTCCCATTAAGAGTCTTACCTTTGGTACTTTTGGGGATGATCTGACCCCAGCGTGGCTTGTATTCTTGCTGACTGATGTACTGATTGAACAGGCCATCTGCAAACACAAAAGCAGCCTGTTGATTTTTGTAAGATTTGCGCTCCCATTACATTACAGATAGCTTTTAGAAGTAGGTGACTTCATCTGTCTCTATCCTACCTGCTCTCCTGATGCAGTTTTCAAAATGATCACCTTCTGCACATCAGTTACCTCACTAGCATATTTTTTTTTTTATAACATACCTTACTCGCTTTGCATCTTAACCAGAATGAAGAGTAAACAGCCACTTAATCCAACTCCCCCCCCCCCAAAAAAAAGGCAGCATCTTCTGCCTGGCACCAATGGTCTATAAACCTCTAGTGTGCCATATTTAAATTAAAAATAGGTTCCTATTTCCATTATTTAAGCAAGAAAAAGGACGCTGACCACAGTTATAAAATTAGTCATTTAGTACAAGTTGCAATGAAACTAGGTCAGACAGTATCTCTAGAGTTCCAGCTAACAAAAAGGAGAAAACATTGTTTAAATGCTGCGAGATGGAAAAACCAAACGTTAGATCAAAAACAGGAAGAGCAAAAATAGCCATGAAATTCTTTGAAAAGAATTAATTAAAAGGAAAAGGGATGAAAACTTATCAGGTTGCTGGTAGATCCTCTTTTCTGTAAGCAGCACTGACCCCAACTCCCCGGCCAGATTGTAAGCGGCTACCTACCCTTTCTAAGTTTGTGCACATTTTCAAGCATTCATTAAGAACCCAGCTCCTACCTCCGATCAATCCCTCCATAAAGTAGAATGTTTTCCATACTTTTCATAGGCTTGATATGAGCTTCCAGTACATCTGCAAAGGGTACTTTGCTGCTGTCCTTCAGATCCCTCCTTAAAAACTTTTTACTCTGCCATGTTCACAGAACTGATGTGTTGTACTGAAACCACTGTTCATCACATACATCAATAGCATCTCATTGCCTCCTTATGCTTCCCGTCCATATGCATCTGTCATAGGCTGTAAGCTCTTTGGGACAGGGGCTGTTTTTTCTGTATTTGTACAGTGCCTAGTGCAACAGCATTCTCGTCAAAGACTTGGGCTCTTGGGGGCTGGGATAATAATAATAATAATAATAATAAATAGGACCAGGACAGGATTGTCCAGGTGTGGAGACACCAAAACTTAATGCTCCTGTGTTGGAAATTGCTTGAATTAAAGGTCGCACATGCATTTTTCAGCCACTTACAAGTGGCTACATCTGGATAGGACATGTGTGAATCCCTGACTATACAATGATTACACAAGGTGCATGTGTATGTGCTGGGGACAGGGGAGGGTCGTGTTTATTTAGACCAGTGGTACTCAACCTCTTCAGGCTCTAGGCATCCCTCATTCAGCTGAAGGCACACCCCATTAAACTCGAGGCACTCTTCAGAAAGTGCTAGCTCTTACTTTTGACCCATTTACTGCTGCAAAGAAAAAAATATTACTGCTGCAAAGAACTCAAAAAGACCATAAGAGGTCTTTTTTTTTTTTTAAACAGTGAATCTCTATTTAAAAATCTCTGGGCACTTTCACATATGCTCCAGGAGTAGGGGACA